GAGACTCTGTTTTGAACTCTGTTTTGAAAACAATGGTTTTGTAAACACTTATATCAGTAAAAGGGTTGATTTGAAAAGTTAAAATTGGTTTTGATTTTTGAGATGTTACACCATATAATGTTAGATGTTGATACGTTTATCATTGATCAAATAATGACAAATTCATATAAGCCAGCTAACTACAAGGAAGCGATTGCAGGCCATGAGGATTGCAAATGGAATGAGGCAATGGACATCCAGATCAAGTTCATGTATGACAACCAATTTAGAAATTTGGTTTATCAAGAACCTAGTCGAAAGACAGTTGGTTTCAAATGGATCTTCAAGAAGAAGACCGACATGGAAGGAAATGTGCACACATTCAAGGCATGACTGGTTGCGAAGGGTTTTACTCAACCCCACGGATTGACTATGATGAGACCTTCTCACCAGTAGCGAAGATAAAATCTACTAGGATAATGCTCGTCGTAGCTACCTTTCGTTATTATTAAACTTCACATATGGATGCCAAAACCACTTCCTTAATGGGAAATTACTTAAATATGTTTACATGAGTCAGCCAGATGGTTTTGTTGATGGAAAGTTTCCCAATAGAGTGTGTAAGCTTGAGATATTTGTTTATGGATTGAAACAAGCGTCTCACAGCTTGGAAAGATAGCTATTTGGTTTCGCTATGAAGGATCTAGGAGAGGTTGCTTATATTCTGATGATAAGAATATTGACAAATAGAAAGAAAAGATTAATTGGACTTAGTCAAAGTATATACTTGGACAAGGTACTAAAATGGTTTAGTATAGAAAATTCCAAGAAAGGAGAGCTATCGATTCTGAGCAATACCAAATTAAGTAAGACTCAAAGCCCCAGTAACATATGAAGAGATAGTTGATATGAGTCGATTCCCTTATGCTTCGGCAGTAGGATCGATCATGTACGCTATGATGTGTACTCCCCCTGATGGGTCCTTTGCTATAAGCCTGGTCAGTCGCTATCACGAAAATCCTGGCAGAGCTCACTCGACAGCAGTAAAGAACATTCTTAAGTATCTGCAAAGACAAAGGATATGATTCTAGTATTTGGAGGCAGTGATACATTGAGAGTGACTGGGTATAGTGACGCTAGCTTTCAAATTGATAGAGACAATTTTCGTTCTCAATCTGGCTGGGTGTTTACATTAAATAGTTAAGTAGTTACTTGGAAAAGTTCCAAGCAAGACATGGTGGCTAATTCTACTTGCGAATCAGAGTACATAGCGACTAGTGAAGCATCAAAGGAAGCGGCCTGGCTAAAAAACTTTATCGGAGATCTTAGAGTAATTCCAACCATTCAGGAGCCTATGGAAATTTTCTGTGATAATGAAGGATCGATTGCTTTAACCAAAGAACTGAGAGATCATGGTAAATCAAGACATATCGACATAAAGTACCATTATATCAAACATAGAGTAGAAGAAGGCCATCTCATAATGAAGAGAGTTTCATCGTAATCGAATACTACAGATCCTCTCACAAAGTTTCTGAGTAGGATTAAGCATAGTTAGCATGCTAGGAGCATTTTTTTGAGAGATGATATTAGTTTTAGTAGTTAGATGATTAGGTTGAAACTTGTAACAAAAATAAATATAATTGATCTTTGTTGATTAAATAATAGAGATTATTTATGAGTTTTTTTTACTACCTTTGTCAATTATTTATTCTTGTGTTTCGTTTTGCATGTTTTACTTCCCGAATAATTTAATTATTCAAATTCCACAGTCACTCATACTTTGGGAGTAAGTAGTGAATTAAGATTCTCATGAATTGGATTATAGATTGTCTAATGAGGTTAGACATAGAAATTGTATTGCTACAACATTCATGAGTACTTAGAAATGAAGATTTAAGTATTGCATAAACCCACACTCAGATAATTACTTCATGGATTATATAAGGAGTAATTCTATAAGGATAATATCTTATATTCTTGAAACAGAGATATATGAGTTGTAATTTACAAGTCGTTGTGCATCGGTGTTGCAAAAACGCGTCAGTAACATGATGTTATAAAACACAGTATCATGTATGATTTGATAAGTAAAAGGTACAAGCATATGAGTCAAAGTTTACTTTTCCCTTTTTCCCTAACAGGAAAAGTGATATCTTTGGGCCCCTTGGTGGTTTGGTGTTAACTTATAGTGTTGGTCCCAACCAACACTCGATTGATGTTTAAATTTGAAGTCTTATGTCGTCATCACAAATCAGGAAATCAGGAAACAAAACTCATGTCACATGTTTGTATCATATCTAGTAAACCGGAGAAATATTTGATCACTTATCTTAGAACCAATGTATGTTTACTTCAGAGATTGGCAGGTTCTATGGAAGCAATCTTTGCTACTTAATTTAGAAGTTATACTGGTAATTGTAGTTATAGATTTATCCAAGTGGGAGACTATTGGATTAGGTGTCTAATTTGAATTATTAGCAAAGTCATTTTGAATTACCCTCAAACCTAGTAATTGAATAGGATGACTTTTAGAGAGAGATAATGATTTATTTATTTTTATACTATTAATAAATACCAATAAATGATTTTATTAATATGTTATGAAAATAATATATTAATTAGAAATAGTAATATTTCATTAAGAATTAATCAGAAATTAATTAGAATTAATTTTGGGATTAATCGGAAGTGTAATTGTTCAGTAGTTGAACAAGAGAGATTCCAGAACCTTCCTTGGAAGGGGTGGACGGTTTTTAGGGTATTCTAGTGCATCTGTAATATTAGTTGCAGACAAATAGGAAGTTGGATAATTATTAATTTGAAGTAATATTATTTTAATCAAATTAGAGTTATCTAGGGTTTCCAAGTTATGCTATATAAAGGATTGGCCTTGGATTTTCTACCACTCCTCCTATACAAGAGATAGCCGAAAATTCCATCATCTCCTCTCCTCTCTCTTAAACCTCCTTGTTTCTAAGGTTGGATGTGAACCATCAGAGACACGAGATTTCTGGTGTTAGTTTCCAAGCAACTATAAGAATGATTGTTTGATTGTTTACTACAACAATCAAGAGCTATGTTTTCTTCTATGTTTTTTTGAAATTACCTTGGGTTATAGGGTTCTTGTTGTTCAATAGAATGTTACTTCAATAGAGTTATGACTATATCTAATATGTTATATGTACCCTTAAGTGTATAATGATTTATCCGAGTTATTGCATGTAAACCCATCACTTTATACCTTCAACAACTTAGAAAACTCAAGAGAATGTTGGATCCAAACTTGCTTCTTGCTTCCTTGTAAACTTCCTTCTTCTGTATATCCATTAAAAATCCAAGAACAAAGCTCCAAATCAAGGGAATGGACTCTCAAACATGCATGGAGGCTAGGGTTTCATTAGTGAGGGATTGGGGCTGGAGAGGATTCCCTAATCTTGAGATTAGGTGTTTAAAAATGGAGGAAACCTTAAACTTCGTGGGCTTGGGTTGCATCAGCTGCCACACCATGGTCTTTCCTTTTCCACGTTGTGGGCATCCCAAAACGCACGTTTCATTTATCTAATGCCATGTCGTTGGCATCCATGCACCAAAGGGTTTCTCCGAAAAGTCTAATTTTTTATTCCTTAAGTCTTTAGCGAACCTTTTTCGAAAAACGGGTGTTACATATGAAATTTGGATCAAACATTCCTTTCACCATCTGTCTCGTTTTTATTTGGACTCAGCCCACGAGGAAAAATATGGCCCATTTGATTATTTGGTTTGAATCTAATTTCACTGTTTGTTTGACTTAAGGATTGGTATTTACACATGTGTTCATTGTTATCAATGACATAACCATTCCTAGACTACATTAAATATTTCCTTTTCATGGTCAAGGCTTCCGACTATCTTGGAATTGACACCCATGTTTTTGTTTTTTGTTTTTTTAATTATTATTTCGACTCTTATTTTCTTTTCAACGTCTCCCAGGCTAATCTTGAGAAATATGATCTCCCGACTTTGAGCATCCTCCTAACGACTCTTCTAATGTTTATTCGTACCTTAATTCATATTTGAATACCTACATCCCTATGTATTTGCAATGCTTTACGTAGAACTCAATGCATAAAAGACAATTTAACCTTCTATAACATCAAATGGTATTGGTAAATTGCACTATAGGGAGCATTCCATCTTAGGGCTTTAAGGGAGATTGTAGGCCATGGATATCCATGTGATTGCATGTGCAATGTCTTTTCCTAATAACCCCACCAACTACCCTTTTCAATTAATAAATAATTCTTTCAACTCCATTTTTTTCTTCTGAACTCTCGATTTCTTCAACTGCTACACGTTTTGTTCTTCCATCCCCGCAAAAGCTCTGCAAATATACAGTTCTCCCACCCCTCTTATGAATCATTGTCAGTAGAATCTGAATCTATAGGTACATATCATGTATTAATTTACTCATATTGTTTTGGATCGCTGCACAAACTTCCTATTTTATATGATTAAAATTATAAAACAATTCTTGTATTATTTTTTATGTATTTTGTTGTTATACTCAAATCCATTATCTCTAAGGTCTTGTACACAAAATTATTACTATCGATTTTTCTGATCTCTTTTTTTCTATATTTGATTTATTGTTTAGGAATATTTTGATGACCTTTCGTGTTCATTTTACTTGAAGAGCGGATGCCACATAGAGACTTATATATATCATTTAATACACAGGCGTATATATGTAAAGCTTCATTTATATTGAGAATTAATTACTTTTTTCATGCTCTAAGTTTAATATAGACTTATACACAGGCATGTATATGTATATCATGCTGCAAGTTTAATACATCTGCTATATCCATGGATTCGACTTTTTTAGAACTCAAATCCCATATTTTTACCATCTTTATAATTACGAAACATTATACATTTTTATGATATTTTTAGTGCTTATTTGTTTATGTTTTTTCTAAAAATATATTACAAATGTGAACATTTATTTTCGATATCATTGTAATTTTCAGGAAACTGAAATGCACAATTCTAGCCAACTCAAGAAAGAATTTATCAAGAAATGGGTTCAGGGACTTCAAATATGTTGTTCTTCAAAGAAGCAAATGAATCTCTTGGAAAGAAAGAAGAAAATAAAGCTTTCAGCAGACATTGCCTTAGCTACTGCAAAAAATGCTACAACTTCTTGGAGTAAAGCTCTCATTTCAAACGCCAAAAAAGACAAAGAAAACGAGATTCTTGTGCAAAACTTAGCACGCCATGAATTAAAGCTCATGGTTGCACACCAAAAAGTCACTTGCAACAAGAGAATAAGAAGCAAGAAAATCTTGAAAACGAGTTTTCGTTTCGGGAAACGAATTAAGAAGATGGGAAATCGTCGATCAGATTTAGCAACTTGTATTGCTACAAGATTGGTGAAGAAGAAAACCCAGGTGCTTAAAAAACTTGTACCAGGTGGAGAAGCCATGGATGATTTCACCATCTTTAAAGAAGCATTAGACTATATACTTTCTCTTAGGGTACAAGTTGATGTCATGATGAATCTTGTGAATTCTACCAAGATTTTAAGTTAATATAAATAAAAATGTAGGTTATTAACGTAGGTTCATTTCTAAATTGTAGCAGGAAGAAAGACACTAAAAATAGAGCCTGAAGAAATCGTACATGTATTCTTCTAAACTCAGGAAAGAGTGTTGAGAAAACAATATTTCCATGTATTGATTAGGCCTTGGTTATTTGTACTTCAAAGCCAAAAAAATATTTGCGGCTACGTAATGAAGCTACCTCACGTTCTCCATGAAATAAATAACTCGCCTTTAATTATAAAGAAGTTTACTAAGGTTCCAAACTGGCTAGATTGTAACGTTCATCATCACCAAGCTCTTTTTAGGCAACATCACATGGGGTTTTGGTTGTTCTCGGATCGCACCAGCAACCTAATAATGTATTTGTGGCTAAACTAGACTGTGATAATAATTCCATTAGTGTAAGTATATATAACAGATTAAGCAACTGTAGATAAAAAAACGTCTTCTTGCATGCCCATCTTAAAGAAGAAGGCAGCTTAAATAATTTTCATCGTATCATTGAACTAAGTTAACGTGTGCTTGATAAGTGCCTTCAATTTTTTCGGGAACTAATAAACAGGAGATAATGGGATTAGGCATGATCACTTCTAGGAATAACGAGCTCTTCACCTTTAACACTTCCATTCCTCGCCTCGAAGCCATAGGAAATTATGAATTTGCAGACGTGAAAAACAAAAGATTACGTCTTTTAGGCTCAATCAGGTCTAGGAAGTAAAGATTATGTATTTAGGATTTAATAATATGATAAGCCTATACATGTTATGGCCTTATGGGTTACAAAAGGGTCTTGGAATTTTTCTTTTTCTTTGATAAATAATTTTCAAATTTCATATGCAGAAAACAAGAATCTTCTCCAGCCAATATACATAACATAGGTGTTAAAATGTTGATTTACGTTGTTACTTCCTCAAGTGAATGTTAGCTCGCAAGTGGTGTCATGATTTAAGTAATGGAAAGAGAATTAGATGGAAAAGTTTTCATTGATTACTTTGATCTAACAAATGAGCTACATATATATAGAGAAAAGATTAGAAAATCAACTAATTTAATTCTAACAAACTTTATATTAAATACATAAATGCCCTTGGGACTGTTTATTTTGTTCCTTGCTAACTTGGTTCAAGCCGGAGGATATGGCAAAAACCCAAGCTTGGAAATTGTTTTTTGTTGATTAGGACCACTTTAAGCTTTAGTAAGAACATGTGTCAGTAGTTCATTTGTCGTCTTAACATGCATATGGGACAATGTAATAAGACCATCATGAACCTTTTCTCGAATGAAATGACAATCAAATTCGATATGGTTGGCTTTTTCGTGAAATACATGGTTGGTAGCGATGTATATAGCTAAATTGTTATATTTGAGTAGGATAGGAGTGACATTTGGAACTTGAAACTCTTCTAATAATTTGTTAATCCAAGCTAATTCAACAGTTACTTGTCTCATAAAGGGATACTCGGCTTCAACTAATGACAAAAGAAATAGTTAACTATTCTTGGATTTCCAAGAAATTGAACTCCCCCATAAAAAAGTATGAAGTAACCATTGGGTGATTTATGAGTAATGGGACAAGATGCCCAATTGGAATCACAAAAGGCTTCAATTTTATATGCATGATCTATATTGAAGTATAAACCTTATTGAAAAGTGTTTTTCAAATAGCTCAAAACATGTAAAACATCATCAAGATTTGACTAGTTGGGTGTTTGGTTAAATTGGTTAAGATATTGAACAGAAAAAAACAATATCTTGCATGTTACGCAACAAGATACTTAATTTATCAATGTGTTGTCTGTGGGATGTGTTAAGGGGTCAAGCATATTTGGTAAAAAAAATTAATATTTTATGGCAAAGGTGATTTGGTATTCAAGGCATCAACTTGAGGATATAATTGTAACATTTCTTTGAAAGAACATTGTTGATGAAGAACTATTCCCTAATCAGTCCTTTTGAATTCAGTTGGAATTAAGAAATAGATTGATATGACCAAGGTCTTTGATTTGGAATCGATTATGAAGGTAACCTTTCAAACTTTGAATTTCAAGATCATCATCCCTTGGAACTAATATATCATCAACATAAATAGCTACAATGATGATATAATTTAAAGATCTTTTAATGAACAAAGAATAGTCGTTTGTAGATTTTGTGTATTGTAATGCCAATTGGATGCCTGTTTCAATCCACGGATTGGCTTTTTTTATTTTTAATACAACTATAGGAGAAGAAACAATGACACATGGAGGGATTTTCATATAAACTTCTTCATGCAAATTTCCTTGAAGGAATGCATTGTGCACTCTAGTTCTTTTTAACAATAAGTGAAACCAAAGGTCTTACTGTTGTGAATTTGACGACTAGAGAAAATGTCTCATGGTAATCAACTATTTCTCTTTGAGTGAAGCCTTTAGCTACTAGACGAGATTTATGTCTTTCTACAGACCTATCTACCTTAATTAATCTTAGTTTTGTAAGCCCAACAACAAGAAATGGATATCTTCCCTTTAAGAAGTTTGACTAATTCCCAACTATTATTTCCAGCTAAAGCACCAATCTCCTTCTTCATTGCAACCTACCAATAAGCTATACCTTTGATGGAAACATGGTGTTTAAGATCGAGTTTCAAAACATAAAACTTTTAAGTTTGCAATGAAAGAATTTAATATAAAACTTAAACAACATAGAATCCGACAAAAGGATCACATTACATGAACATGCAAAGTTAAATTAACAACCACAAAAGGATAAGATTAACAACCTTTGTTGTCATCTAGTCCTCACGAGAGATTGAATGATGATGATGATGATGATGGAATGAACCCAAAGTAAAATCCCACTAGATAAAGTGCACCAATAAGCTCCAACCCTAGATTAATGCTAGTTCATCTCTTAATAATACAACATATTAAGCTTGAACCACCAAAAACAAATTTTGGTGTTCAAGAGAGTATGTATTCTCTTCTTTTAGCTACTAAAGACTTAGAGAAAGAAGGGAAAGCCTTTCACTCATTAATCATCCTACATATATAAAACTCAATCATGACTAAACAAATGCTTTTACATGCATTGGACCATCCATAAAGGTGGTGATGGGAATGCTTACACGAAACCATGAGTGACAGAAAGCAGAGTTAGTCAAACACTCATTCTCTCCCCTTTTTAATCCTCCAAGTCTTTCAAATGCGTGTGTATATATATGTGTGTATATATATATATATATATATATATATATATATATATGTTCGTTTTGTTTATTTAATCTAACACTTTAAATTAAATAAATAAATTTCACACAAACTAAATCATTTAATAATTAAAGATATAAGTACCAAACTTATAATAATTCAGACACTTATAAATTACATTATTATTATTATTATTATTATTATTAATTATTATTATTATTATTATTATTATTATTAATTATTATTATTATTATTATTATTATTATTATTATTATTATCAAATAATTATCCCAAGAGTTCTAATATTTTAATATGTATCAACCCCATATATAAAAATATTAATTCTAGTGTCTACTTGTTATTAGTTTAATCATATTGGATCATATGTTATTACCAATATTATTTTATGATCATTCTTGATGCCCATAGAACCAACAATATCCCACTTGTGCAAGATTGAATCATAAAAGGATATAGACAGTGATGAACATCTAGCAATATTTCACTGCCCCCAACAACACATGATGAAGTACCATTCAACATTCAATTCCCATAAGCCCAAAGCTTCAATTGATATAACTAGGTGTTGTATTAGTTATCCCTTTGTTTCAGACATCATGTTAAACATGAGAAATGGATCGAAATCATTATCATTTTGTGTTGAACTTTATTCAAGTGCCTTAGATGTCTCACTCTCAACATAAAAGAGGAACAAATCCCACTTTGACTACATACGCCTCTTATGTAGATCATTTTGTACCTAATGATGGCCTTATGACTGCATTGTTAAAGAGCAGGAAAGAACCATATTAAATCACAATACTCCTCACACTTGGGTCCCTAATATGTATCTCAGGTATAAGGATACAAAGATACTACATTCTTCAAGAGTCACTTCTAACGACGATCCATGAAGTGATCTTGAAGCGGGTCATATCCAATACTTGTAACCCAGCAAGTACCTATGAACATGGTTGCAATCCTTTTGGAAATTTTAACTTGTGAAATTCAACTAATCCATTTCATATTAGTCTTTGTTCATATTTGTTCCCACAAATATGATCAACTATGGTCCTTTTAGAATAATTAGTATTATTCAGGGATTAAACATGTTAACGTAGAACACAACAAATATTAAATAAAGTATCATATCTCCATATACCAAATTTATTACATAATTTTTGCTTACAATGTTCCAATCATACAAACACTAAATACAAATCAAATTCATTCACTAGGATAATGAATCCCCATAGCTCTAGCATGATGCTCATGCTTGGGTGGTGGTAATTGCTTCATGAATAGGCATGTCACGTTTTGATTTGTATGAACTTTGCAAATACAAACATCACACAATTTAACTATATTTAGAATGTAGTTAAATCTTCATTGGATGTGCCTGGTTTTCTTATATGATCTGGGTTCCTTAGCTAAAGCGCAGGCACTCTCATTATCAAAAAATATCTCTAGGGGATCCTGAATAGAAGGGATAACCCCTAGATATTCAATGAATTTCTTCATCTAGGTTGCTACTTGTGATGATTTCGAAATGGAAATGTATTCTAATTCAATTGTAGATTGTGAAACCACACTTTGTGTGGTTCTCTTCCATGAAATTTGCTCTCGATTCATAATTAAGACAACCCGGATTGCGATTTAGAATCATCTACACATGTTTGGAAATGAGCATCAGTTTCACACTTTACATTAAGATCTTCTCCGAATCCTCCATAGATGAGGAACCTTTATTTAGTTCTTCATTAGTACTTTAGAATTTTCTTAACAGCAATCCAATGATGT